TGGTTGAAATTCTAGCTGCTATCGTTTGGTTGAGCGGGATTGATGGAATTCGAAGAAAAGTTTTCCTCGAAAAAGTTGTGTGACTTATTATACCATGTTAATACTCATACAGGCTATTATTTGTACTTATAGTTTACTAGTTTTATTTCGTAGATAATTTGTAAGACCAAGTATGAACTGAGAAGTCTCCAGTAAATCTGACATCATAATTCATATGAATACTGCTGCTTGATAAATACAGAATTACAAAGCGAATTCATTATCTATGCTTGGAAAGGGTAAAGGCCTGGGTATATACTTGGTGACTGCGAAGGTGCCCGGGAAACTTTTAGAATCAGGAAATGGGAGTGAAACGTGAGAAGAATTACACCACTCGTATAAAAATAAGAGCAGTTGAAGTTTGTACTAGTTTTCAAAGATGGGATAGCCTGAATACGTAGTATGCTTTTGAATCAAAGTTCATAGGCGCGGCTATGAGAAAGATGTCTAGTATTGTTTAATAGAAAGTTCTGTTCTCCAGACACACAAAAGTGTTACAAAGGAAGCTTTGTAGAAGTAACCGTTGCTAGTTTATAAGTGGTAATGATACCACTTATGCCCGTCACAGCGAAAGAGATGGATAGTATGAACGTCCGAGGGTTTGTCCCCAGGGTACAACCAATAAATGAAAGAACTCTGCACTAGATGAAACACGAGCAGGAAAAGAATTATAAGGCTGGAAGAGAAGAACCTGAGAAATTTCTAGAAGTGGCTTGAAGGAAAGAACGTTACTTGGCGTAACGAAAGTAAGAAATATTTCGGCGACAAAGCATCTCGTAGAACAATTATTTTCAGACGGACAAAAAGTATATAGTACTACACTATCGCAAAATGGCATACATCTCATCGTTTTCTCTATGCGAGGATTGCGAAGCAGTTCGGTTATTCTGGGGACTATGAACTGCGAACACATCGCCATGTTGCTGTTGCTATTAGGTACAAAGTAGTTCATGAAAGCCTGGAAGTGTAAGAGTATTAGTAAGCTACGTAAGCTGAATTCGTTTAGTAAATTTACTTGTTAGATATAAGGTGTATCGAATGAATCCAGGATGATAGATAGCGACTCTTGAGATTCCAATCCTCGCATTCCAATCTCAGCCTGTTCACTGGAATGTCTGGTAATGCAATACCGTATCTAGCGATGTGGTACTAACACCGCTGTTTCCAGGCTGTCCATTTTTGAAGAGCGTTTGAAAGACGCATCTGAATGAGATCCAGGTCAGAGCGAAGGTTTGAGATGCTAATTCTCAGAATTGTATTAGAGGTTGTTTGCGGTAAAGCGAGGTCGCTTAGAATATTGTCTTTTGTGTATAATATATATAAAGTCTCCCTCTATTTGGGTAACATAATTTTCGAAAGGCCCAATGGCTGAATCAGAAGATGCTTTAAGTCCAGCTTTCAGTTGTGGAATTAAGATGCGTCTTATTCATGTTCAGGAATTATGCTCGTTGTCCATATATTCACTCCTCTACCCACCAGCTTAGGAAATACTCAACGAACGGTTGGCAACCTTAGACACTAATCTGTCTTTCCACAACCTACTAACATTCAGATGAGGTCAATTTCAATCTTTGCTATCAGAGACTCAAATGCTTTTTTCTGCCTGCTTTGAGAAATTTGATCTCTTATAATGATCACAATTTGGAAAATATGTTTCTCCTTGCCCAAGTCTGGAACAAAGTCCAAGGCAGCAAAATAGTTCCAGCAGCCATTGTTGTCCCTGAGAACCTCTCTTTCAGTCTGTGTTATATACTAAGAAAGTTTGATCTTCACTATCAATAATCACTACCAAGGATGAGTCTTACTTTCAAGGGGTTTCAAACACATAATCCGCTCACAACTGGGCAACATCAAGGATTCTCCGCCTCTTTACAAAGTTGATTTACTCTTGTCACCCACATTGACAATATACCAGAGATCAAAATTGCTACCCAGAGCGAATGTATGAGTCTAGCAAAGTTTTTCAGCCAGACCATTTCATGTGGGGATACATTGTTATGTGCCCTTCTCTTCCTTACAACCATCGATAAATTACCACCACACTTGCCCTCTCCTCATAAATGCCATAGACAAGATGGTTCCAGCAACAAATAGCACTGACTCGACATCCCTCGCAATTGTCTATTACACCAGTAAGTGGAAACCAGGCTTTCACTTCACCTATTAGGATATGCTTGGCTAATTGCAGGAACACCTAATCTCAAATCAGCACGCACTTATTAACGAACCCTAGAAACTTCAAAACTTCAGAATGATGTGACACTAAAACATTATTCGACAGTGAAACAAACTTGTTGATGATCTGTCTGTAACAGTGTAAGAATAGATTACCAACCACGCACCACTCTGTCTGTCAAACCTGAACAACATGTGCACTCCAAACAAGAACGTTCCAATTCTAAACACTCACCACCCACCAGGAAACTTTCTCCCCGTTATTCTGCCAGTGATGTAGTATTCCAACACAACACAGGTACTATATAACCCTAAGCTACAAGTAATATCACCTGGCTAATTGTGTTATCTTTAGCACAAGGTAGTGAATGTTCAAGGTTCTTGATGGGTTATTATTGGAGTATCACCTGATTTCAAACCTTATGCAAGCAAGAGAAGTGTTATAAACTTCTGCCCTGTCTACACGGTCTCCTTCTTCTATCCCTTTCAGTTTATCGCCTGTGTTATTCATAAAATTCCATTTATTTTGTGAAAGAAAGGCTGCGATATCTTTCCTGTAATTTCGAAGCCAGTGTTTACAGAAGTGTGGCGTTTGAGAAAAGAGTTGGTGGAATTTTTCTCCCTAAATGTAAATTTCACTGATTTTACTTAGACACAAAGTCGTTTAACTCAGTTGAATTTATGAACTATTCCCGAAGAATACGAATAAGCGAAAAATGTTTCGGTATTTCAAATCCATATTGTTCTAATTACTCATAATGGGTTTCAGAATGACATTATACTTAAAATTAATGTACTATGAAAACTTATTAACTGAATTTAATTTAGAAATATGTCAAAACAATAACATAGCTGTCACAAAGCTCAGGGATCGAAATAAGCGAGGATGCCGATTATTCTATTGTCTGTATTTCTAAGCCCATCGTAGTCAACTACTTCTGTATTCTATCCTTTGGACAGACATGATACTACGGCAGGAAGAATTTTATTCTGGGTACGGTAGTTCTTTGCAAATCTCTTTATAGTGCTTAGTCTGGGAGGAAAGCCGCCCCAGATCGGGAGTCTTCGCATGAATGAGTCACGTTTTACGTTTTACTTCTAGATTTGCTAGCATCATTGGCCTGCCAAGCTGCCGATCACCTTTTTGTGAATCTGTACGATACAATGCTACTTTATAGCAACAACATATGAAGGATTGTATTATAATCACGTGACTTGTGAATATCGTATTTCCCGCCACCGTTACAATGGTTTCCCCCTGGGCCCTCATAACCTCTACATACACACCTTGTACCATAAAGCCAATACCATTAAATATTTATACCATGTAAAAGTTTATGTATTACTTATATCTCAATTCGAAGGGGGTTATAATGGTTCGCTTTCCATCTCTCGAACCAACCATCCATCCATTTCTTTGTACCGCATGCGGTCAAAGATTCCATTGAGGAGCTTCCATGGCCACAATGACGCCCCTTGGCATAGCAGAGGGGCTGAGGCGTCTGAATCTTCTTCGCTGCTGAGAACTCTGGCCTTGTGCCTTTACACCTAGTACCATGTGAGGAGAAAGCTATCAAATGTCGCACCAAGAGTTTGCTGTTATCTGGGCGACTTTACAAGGTCGACTCGACATCAACAACCTTGTACAGGAACTTGTTGGCCGCTATCAGTTGGAAATTGGCAAATCTGGGAACGCTCGCGAACGGTTACACGAGATAGCCTTCCAACATGTAGTAACTTTGCGGATTATTTTCGACCTTAAAGGACTTATCTTCAATCCTCAAACTCAAGCCCGGAGACAAAATCCTGCCTTCTAGATACCGAGATATTGTTCAACGTTTTATCACATTTACTGGACGTGAAGTCTACAATTTTCGGCACCAACGATGGTGCCCTTCCCTTAGAGGACGCTCGTCACAGCTACATAGGCCAGACACTACTTTCCGGACTACGAGCTCTTCTGCTCCGAAATAAACGTCTTTCACAAGAGGATTATGAATTATTTAATACAAAGATTGAAGAAACATGGGGTGGGGATGATCTTGAAGATGTTCACCATTTTATTGTATATCAACTGTGTCGCGGAATTTTGGCAGAGTTGAACACCACTTCGCCGGCCTTTAGGGGGTCAGAACCCGCTTGCGGGACAGTTTTACTGCCAGACTTTCACAAGGGACTTGTAGGTATTCAGCTCGTTCTAACACCATACTTATTAACATCTCCAGTATCCCATAGAAGAGCGCAACAATGCAGTTGTCGATGCTGTTCGACGGACTATGGGACCTACTCAGAGTCTAACAGATTGGTTCCACAATGCACTGGTATTGTATGATACATTTTGGCTACCAATGTTGCCACAAACCAATTTTGCTTGAACGCTCAAGTCAGGAGAGAATCTGGCAGATGGTCCTTTGCCGAAGAGGCTCTCCTAGCAACCAATTCTAATCATATTCTTACCCCCCACCTCGCGATGCTCGACCACCTGTACCAGGATTCGCCGAAAGATACTTCTCCAGGAACGGTAGAATGGGCTCGTCAGCAAATCAAGAGCTTGGTCTGCTTAAGTATTTGTACGCCATGTTTCAAGCACGAATGCAAGTGCATGAGCGATAGCCCTTCGAGCCTACAAGATCTGGTATGTCCAAAAGACGAACGAAGATAGCAAGTGTTACCTACTAATAAATAAACTTCAGTGGCTGCGCCGTGGCGGTACCCAAACTCTTACAAATGTTGACCAATATATTCCTAGGAATCACACGCTTGAAATGAAATATATTCTCAAGCAAATTCGTGTGGACTTAGATTCCCGCAATGCTATGTTCCCAGACTTGAACAGAGAACTACGCCTGATATATGAGCGGATACTCAATGATACCAAGGAATGGTGCCCAGGTAGCGCAACCTCTAAAATGGAAGAGAGCCGGGACGGGCATTGTATAGATGATGTGTATATTCTGAGTTGCTCTGAGCTACATACCGTTTCAGCAGGAGAGCTGTTATTCAGCAGAGAAAGCCCAGATGCCGAAAAGAAGCAAGAAAAATTACCGGCAGTATGTTCATATTGATACACACCTGCCTATTTGATAAAACGCAAGGGATATTGTTGACTTTTGCATGCAGTTTATTCCACGCACAAGCTGCAGTCAATGTATATGGTATTCGGACAAACTTTCTGCTCGGAGAATTGAGCCTCTATCAGAAATATCAAAGTACATAGAAGAAAGGCTAGAGTTGCACTCAAAAGCGGTCAGTATCGGGGGCGATATCTTTGCGAAAGTTCCACACACACAACCGTTACGCCTCAATTTGAAGCAAACCTTGAGTCTTAAAAGTGGCGGTGACAGACGCCAGGCGCATATTTATGAGCCGGGCGACAGCTCCTCTCACAAGTTACGTATGAGCGGGTATTCAGAAAGTTCGTAATCCACAACACCCCCAAACTCAGCGAATACAACTGGATCAGCCCTGCGGCCAAGCGAACTCCAGACCCCAACTTTTGCAACTTTTAGCTCAGTTAGTGATATAACTGATGAAGACTTGTCCTACTTTCCTTTACCACCCTCTCACCCTCCACGGTCAACAATAGTGCCAGTCGAATACTCAACCCTCCCTGAAGTGGCAGAGGTACCCGAGCCCAAGAAAGTCTTGCCTACGCCATCAATTCTTTCGGAAGGTTCATCCCTAACGCCGACTGCAAGTCAACGAAAGTTAGACAGGCGTCCGAAGTGGCCTTTCTTCAAATCGAGTCGTGATTTATTATTTCCCGCTTCATCAGCACCTTCTACAGCATTTTACACTTCTGGAAGAAGTCTCATTTTGTGGAATGATTTCGGTGTCGGCGCCTACGACCTTCATAGCGTGCCTGCTTTGTCGCTCAGTAGAATCACTACCGGAGATATTCTGGCATGATTATCTAAACTAACGCTTCGATAGGCTATAATGGTTAGAGTGTTTGTAGAGAATGTGAGCGATCCTGCACACGAGTTTGAGGTGGAGCAGGTGCCTGTTAAACTTGCCGTCTCAAACAACGATCATTACATTGCTATCAAGTTCGAAAATTATGTTCGGATACTCGATACCTTGAATGGTACGACGTTCCATCACAAACTTGCAGCACAAACGGGGCAATCTGGTGCCAACGATCATTTAATCGCTTTCTCCACAGACGACCTTTCATTTATTGCATCCACACGACACGAGCCAGAAAAGGTAGTTTCATATCTTTGCGAATGTCAAAGTCCTGCAAATGGCAAGACAGTCGAGAGCAGTGCGCCCTATGTAAGCAATCGCGCGATTATAAATACCAGAAAGATTCTCAGAGATTTTACACGAACCCGGTGTTATGAATATAAGCTCACAAGTTAACAGGGTCTTGTTGGTGATTATTGACTATCGTCCGTTGTCTACTCAAACCAATCCGCACTACTCACTACCTATACGGAAAAAGGATACCCTGCTCAACTTACATTATCGCCACATAAACCCTCAAGTCGACTCTTGCGTGATAAACACCAACAAGTGGGATCTAGAAGACATCAGGCCGCGCTGTGTTCCACGGGTCAAAACCTTGCCATGATTAACGATCGGAATGAGATATTTTGGATGTCAGATCCATTTCGCTTGCCTGGGAAGCAAGATCCTTATCGGATAGGGACTGTGAAACGAGCGAAGTCTGTCAAACGAGAAGTGGAAATTGCGCTTCCAAGACAGGATGAAGTGCATATATTTTGGTGCGAAAGGGGTCATGGAGTTTTGATTACTATGGAAAAGAATGGCGGGAAGAGCAAACCGACAGAAGTCAATCTTGATATGTCGCAGCTTTTCGAGCAGTTTTAAAATCTTCAAATGTTCCTAGTAGAAAATAATACATTAGTTTCCTGTCTCCTGAGTGTCCCGGAATTTGTATGCGATTTTTTCAGACAGCAATCGACGAAAGCGGCATTCCTTTGTTGCTTAATGCCAACGCCTCGTTATTGAAGGAGACGATAGGCGAGAAAGATGGCTCTGTGATTGGTTATTAGTGACGTAAGCGAAAGGGAAGCGAGAGGACAAGCTTTCTATGGAATGCTTCTTTCGCTTGCAGAAGCAATATTTTGCCAAGCAACAAAGAGTCGAAAACATCGAGCTAGCACCTTCACCCAATATGAATCCGTATTCTCAACCCGATCCGATTTCTGCCCTCAGTGTGACCAAACCATCCATCCTGGTTGGAGAAATAGAGGCGTGTTTTGGACCAATATGGCATCTTCCCTCAAGCCGCTTGCGATGTTGTCCCCAAGTATATGGGTCTTTGACAGTACCCTTACCAAGTATCTTGAATGTCAAATTCACTCCACTTTCCTCGTGTTTTCTTGAGGAAATCTCAAGTTATTGACTTCAATTATACCCGTAAGCATGACAACCGAAAATCCCTCGCCGCTGTCTGGCAGGGACATCGAGGAGGACTCCTCCGATGTCTCCCAAAGCGCTCAATTACCTACCGAGAAAGGTCCTCAGAATCACACCGAGCTTAGGTACTGTACCTTAGCCTAAAAAAGTAGCTTTCTTAGCTGAGAACTAATTGGAAATGCAGACGAACACTTAATGAACGCCACGTGAACATGATCGCATTTAGCAGTACCATTGGCATTGGTTTATTTCTACAGTCCGGAAAAGTGATGTATCTTATTGGACCTGGAGGTGCAGTATTGGCATAACTTCTCATGGGTTCACTGTTATGAGCAGCAAATGGATCTCTGGGGGAGATGACTGCGGTGTTTCCTGCCCGGGACTTTCCCCCTTCAACCAGCGAGTGTTACGGCTAATTCCCATTTGCAGGTTCGCATACATTATTTTAACAGCGACAGAAGTCTCAACCCTTGCATCCCTTTTCAAATTTCAATTCACGCCAGAATATCTGCAAAGCTTCAACTATCCCCGAGAAACACTGCAATGGTCATTTGGGCTTGAGACGAATTCAGCGGTCTGGGTCGGTCTTGCGCTCCTTGGTATATTGTTGATCAATCTATTGCCTGTCAGAGTATATGGTGAGATCGAGTATGTTTGTGGATGCATGAATATGGTAGTCATTGTCTCGATTATCTTGTTTAATGTGATTGTCAGCGCACAACGTACGGAGCAACAGGGGACACATGCTTTCCAGTTTTATCAGCAGCCGTGGGGATTCTTCTCCAATAGTACACATACGGATCCTGGTGCCAGAAATTATACCTTTACGGGCGGTAAGAAAGCTCCCACACTACTCCATCCGGGTTCTGATTTCTGTACTAATACCATGATTAGATACCGGCAGACTCATCGGATTTTGGAGCGCTCTAAATACCATTTTATTCTCTGTTCAGGGACTCTTTACAGTTTCAGTTACAGCTGCAGAAAACAAGCACGTTGATAGAGACGAGTCTATCAAACTTGCCACCCGAAAGATTGCCCTTCGTGTAATTCTGCTCTACGCACTTGTCGTTTTCACAGTTGGTCTGAATGTTCCATACAACGATGTAAACCTTCAAGATACAACGATCAGCTCAATTTGACGAGGTCAAAACTCCCCCATCATCATCACCTGCGTCCGTAACGGCGTTGTAGGATGGCCACATTTCCTCAACGCATTCTATATCTTCTCAACTTTCTCAACCGGTGTCAATGGATTATATATTTCATCTAGGCTACTCCATGCACTTGCAAGTGTTAGAAATGTGTGGCCAAATACGGGAAGGGGCGCGAGGGTCAAAGGGTGGTTGGAGAGAACCAGTGCCAAGGGCGTCCCCATCAATGCTGTTCTTATTAGTTGGCTTTTTGGATTCCTGGGATTCCTGGCTGTTAGACCATTTCCTGCAAAGGTATAACACATACATTATATAAGTGGCAATTACTTGCCGTGGATATTGTAGATTCTGGGCCGCCTCGCTATCTTTTCAACAAGCTCGATGCTTATTGTGTGTGTATGCTTGTGTATCAGCAGCATTCCTCATGTTCAAATCGAGGTCAGTCCACCAGTATCTCTACATCTGGCTCAGCTAAACTAGTTCCATAGAACTACCAAGGGTTTCGCCACAGAGCCTGTGGTTGTACAAAGAAACGGACAAGACGTGTTGAACCGCGCAGCCTCAGATTAGCCATACCGCTCCCACTTCCAAGGACTTCGCTCCGTCTACGCACTCCTCAGATGCTGTCTCTTCATTATCTTCAACGGCTGGCGTTCCTTCCTCAACCCTTTCTCCACTGCCGATTTTCTAGCCGCGTACATGAGTATCCCCATCTTTGTGATAATAGTCACACTTTACCATATGAAAGATGAGGCTGAGACGTGGAAATTTTGGTGTTGAGGTTTCCAGAAGAGTATGGATATTGCGAATCCGATTATCACCCGAGAGAAGAACCCAGAGAAGAGAAAGGGGAGCTTGCATAGGGTTGATAAGACTAAGATCGTTGGGAAGCAGAATGCCATGAAGGTGTTGGAGGTTATATGGACGTGGTTGAAGTGAGAATGCGTGGTGTTGTTTCTATCTCACGTGAGCTTTGGTGCAAAGGAGAATGAACTTTTGCAACGATATTTCAGTTTCAGCTGTACATAATTGGTTTAATTTAGATACTTTAATAATGACAGAATTACTCCAATTCTACGGCTTAATTGCTCGTACTCCACCGAAATTGTTTCTGTGGGCTTGTTTTTCACTGAGACAGCCGAACACAAGGCACCAGGCCAGGAGTATTTACAGAAATGAAATAGTTCTAGAAAGAATGCAATAGCATTTCTACCATTCACCTATCCGATCATCGAAAATCTGTCAAATAGTATTGCATGGTATATGTATATTGAGTCTGTTTACCCCGCCATGCCACAAAAAAATCAAGAGGTTGCTAGTTTCAAAATATGCATTTCTCAAAGGGGCTTACCAGCCAATCTCCCGAATGTGATCAGAGTATATTATTCGAAAAATTCTTTGAGCGTACGCGAAACAGGTAGTTCTCAAACTCAACATTTTCCAGCGCCTATTCGGCTCGAAATCTTTCTGCCCAAGGTCGTACTCTGTCTATTGGCCCCAGTACGTCTTACTTCGTAATTTGACGAAAAGTTGACGATTGAGTGAAGATGTTTTTTCAGGTAAAGACGCAAACCAGGGACCTGTACGGTGTGCCAGGTCTTGGATGTAAAAGCCTGAACATGCAAAAGCTGTATATTCCCAACGTACTTTCGTTCAATTCTATCACATCCACATATTTTGACTGCGCAGTGAGGAAACGCGCATAGCTTCCATTTCCAATAAGAGTTTGTAAAAGGACCAAGAGGTTAAGATGCGACAGCCGTACGGCACAGGCAACAGACAAATCCATCATGCCAGTGGCATAAAAACTAATCAAACTAAACATGCCATTGGAACAGCCGAAGCGAGGTTGAGTTCTGCGGCTTCCCGTTAGCTCACACAATCTTACCCAATCGAAGCGTATTCTTCCACCGACTGGCTGAAGGCGCGCGAATTAGGCGAGGGGCATGCATACTTTGCTTCAAGTACTTTACCTGCACCAGCAAGGCCATCTCGAAGCGGCAAATCGGTGTGAAGGGGATACCGTCGTCTTCCAGTTTTACTGATGACTTTTGACTCAACCTGACTCGATTCAAACGAAAAAGTCAAATTTTCGCACTCGCTTCCAACGCGCGGCTGTGAAATGCACATGCATACGGAACTTAACATAGGGGCTGTATATACGAAGCATTCCAGGTTCCATCATACATTGAGATCTCACTGGTCATTAATCTATTTGCACAAGGCTTACTGAGGCTCAGGGCGTAGCCTCTGAAGGTCTCGGGTCCTCAAGGCACTTTTTGTTGCAAACGAACAACCAAGAACATCAGCAAATCCAATTCCTTTACTCAGCCCCAACGACCAAGATCAAAAGAGCGGATGCCTCTCAGTCTTCTTCTCTCAAAGCACATACACAGCATTCCAATTCCACAAGTCTCGGCTCAGCAACAAAATCTTCGGCCAACACACCAGCAACGATGTCTGAATCCAGTGGGGAGAAAAACTTCCTCCCCAGAACTTTTCCACCCAGGGACCCCGAAAGCGTCTATGTCGAAACTTCCTCAGTACAAAAATGTGCTAACGGTGAAAACTGCGCCGCCTCTTGGGAAGTTTGGATCCCTTTTCTAGTGCTTCAAAGCCTTGCTGGCTTTTGCCTGATACTTGCATATATCACTTCCCACAATGACATGCCAGATAACACACTGTTTATAGGAATGGATGGGAGCTCGGTGAGACTCTTTTCCCTTATAACTTAAGAAAGCTTGCTGAAACGCATCAATAGAACGATCATGGCTTCGAATCCGGAACTCACACGGCAACATCATCAACAGACGCTCTATGCTATATAAACTTCACGCACAGGATTTATGATACATGCATACTAGAAATCTCTTTGGGGATTTATTACCCTTTGGATGTCGCGTACGGCGAGACGCGGATTTGGCAGACATCTGCTTCCTGCTATGGGTGTTCAGATATTGGTAGGCATATGGGCAGTTTTGGGAGATCATCTCAAGTTGATTTGTATGTTGCACATACTATTCACGATATTTAAAGCTACATTGTGTCTGCTTGCAGTCTACCATGCCATCGCGGCCTGTATACGAACAGCAATGCTACCATGCACCTGTAAGCCCGGTGGCCTTGCATACAAAACGGAGTACTCGGTCTCAAGCTCAATCTCTGTTCAAGAATGAGAATAGGTTATGGCTGAAAGGACGAAGAGGTTGGAGGGCAATTTTGGGGGGTTCTAGGGGATGGGGGTTGGGTGAAGTTTAAAGGATAGATTGGTATGTTGGAAATGAATCGCAGAGGTATTTGGACAAGTTTGAACATCCGTGATCAAAGATTTATACATTTGGAATCGAAAAACATCAAACCAACAGAAGAATTTACAAATAGCATTTGACTCCCAGGTGAAACCCAACCTTAAACCCTAGAATTGCTCACAGACATTGTGAATAATACTCGCTGGAAAAAGTACAAACATACGGCGAATCACACTGCGTAGGCCCATTATATCCCGTACCTCCACACTGCTGATACTGCGCAACAGTTCCCGACCCAGATCCAGGAGTAGGAGCACTACCCGTGGAAGAAGTCGGTTCACCTTGAACCGTAGAAGTTGGGTTCGACCCCGGGGTCCAAGTGGAAGTTGTAGCTGGTCCTGTTGGCGTTTGACCTTGTCGTACACAGCCAGACTTCGCAGTCAAAGCAGCAGGACATGTAACTTCTTTGAATGTCATACTTGGGTTATCAGATCCACCGAACCAGTCGAAGCGCCAGTAACAGCCAGCCTTGAGCTTCTCCGGGAAAGAATCGCATTGGGAGCGAGATGATATACCGCCGTATTGTGCTCCCCAGCCTGTTGATGGGGCTCCCCATTGTGCAGTACAGCCGTTGAATATTCCGACACCTCCACCTGGAATCTGCAAGTTGTCTATTAGTAGCCTCAATTAAAAGTGTCTCAATTGTGAAAACATACAGCAAGATCAAACTGATTAGCCGCCAAATCTCCCCCCGTATTTGTAGTTTGCACAATCATCTTCTTGCCTGGCACAGCACCAGAAGTAAAAGTCAACTCATAACAAGCACAACACCAACTCGACTCTTTCCCACCCGCTATAGTAGTCGCTGCAAAACCATAAGCGAGGGACTCGGAGACAGCCCATGGACTTTGGTTTGAGCACATGTATGCACCCCCTTTGTTACATCCAGAAGGCGCATCATAGTTCGACATATGGTTGTCTCTAGCATCGCAACTTCCAACCGGATTTGCACCGCTTGCGAGTGAGATTTTGCCTTTCCAACCACAAGATGCTTTGCAGCAATCCCAGTATCTTGTCGTCTTTCCGGTTGATTGGCCATCAACGGCAAGGAAGAATGGGAGGAGGGGGAGTAGAACTGTCTTTGAGAGAACCATTTTGAATAAATCTCCACGAAGAAATAGTTTGAAGCCGTTTAGTTATGTATGATGAACAAAAGAATGAGGAAATAAGAAAAAACATGGGGAAAATGTCCCATTTTCACTTCAAACCGCGCCGTCAATCATCCTACTGAATTTTCCCACTGCCACTTCCTTCCCTAGTTTGCCCAACTAGCAAGCTAAAGGAACGTGAGGGAAATATACCGACGGGCCGCATGACAGATCTTTGGGAGCTGCGAGGTGTATACCGATCCAAGTCCTTTATCCACAAACATCCCGATTGGGTAACCATGATGTCGTACCCTGGGGTAGGATTGTGGGGTGCAGCTTGGCAATTTGTTTTCTCGCCGCCAATCTGGTAAATCCGGAGGCTCTTTATCCATGCGACGACACCCGTGCAATATAAAGACGAACCCCAAAACCAACCCACGCATCGTTCTGTTGATACACGTGACTTTATGTTCAAGCTAGATTTTGATTACGCGGTAATATGATGACTGTACGGAGAGTACACATCGGAACAATGATACGAAGGAAATTAGATGGGAAGGAAAACGAGAAACCCGTCTTACTGTAAGAACGAGCTGCAAATCCCCCTTAGTGAGGCTTTTCAAGTCAAGGGATTCTACTCCATACCATCTGAAGCTCCATTGTAGCACAAGAGAATCGCGCAAAGCAATACGCAAAGAATCCTAATCGGGGTAAACAAAAATTACGGATTAAGATCCAGGAACATGAATCCTAGAGCGATCGCAAAAATGACCTAAGCTTCAATAATAGAAAAAGATAGACATGAAAAATAATAATGAAGATGACCATATTCGTAAGATGAGATGAAGAAGATCCCCAGAATCAGGGAGGGGACTCGGAGATGGCACATATTCCCAGTGGTATTCGTAAGTATGGGACTAACTTGCCGATATCCGGTCTACCGACTTCGCTCCGACGGTAGTACTGTCCCGCCAAATCTAGATTCCCATCTCAAACACCAACGAAATTTTTTCGATGACGAGTAAGACCCTTAAAAGTAAGCGGCCCCGTTCTAATTTGGCTGGGCAGAACCCGCGATGTGCAACAGAATGTTCTTTCTAATGGAGAAGCAGGACATCTAGAATTTCTAATTAGGCGGGGGATCGATAAAGGGGGAGGTCACGTGAATAAACAATCCAAACAATTTTGACGCTCTTTTACTTCATACTTTAGAGGATAAGCCATTTGTGTTTGTTTTTAAACATAATTTTGTATCCATAGTTGAAATTTTTGGGAAGGATACAAGTTGGAATTGCAACTGTTTTCGTGAGACCCTTGCTACGGTCATCGTGATTCGCCAGCTCTATACGGACCGCCGCTCAACCAACATATTAACCAACAACCAACGTGCGCAATCCCACAATTATCATATGCCGAGTTATTTGCTATCGCAAAAAAAGAAAAGAAAAAACACTCATGTGCTTATCTCCAATCAACTTTTCAAAAAGCCGGAAAGATCAGGGCCACGTGTTAACTTCAGACATCTGAACCTCATCCATGACCGTTTTCGACGAACTGTTCGAGACCGATGGCGACGACGAGTGGAAGACATGGTTAGAACATTTATTCGCCTCTCGAGATGAAATAGTAGACTTCGTCACGATTCGGCGAGGAGGCAATACAACAGGAGAATTTACAAAATACTACAAAGGCTCCTTCAATTTCTGCCTGCGCATCAAGTTCAATGACGGGGGGCAGATGCTATAATCCGCTTTCCAAAGCCGGGACATACAGCAACCGCTTGGAGGGACGAAAAAGTTGCTAACGAGGTGAACTTTATCAACTTCTTCAGGGATCATACGACGATTCCCGTCCCGCGGGTGACTAGCTGGGGGTTGACGGCCGAAAGCCCACAAGGACTTGGTCCCTTCATGATCATGGACTTTATTGAGGGCATGAAGCTGTCGGCGTTTTTGAAGACTCCCACGGAAAGCGATCAGGATGACGAGATTTTAAATCCAGAAATCGATTCCTGTATTCTTGATAAGATATATGGCCAGATTGCCAACTACATGATCCAATTATCGCAACTCGAGTTCTCCGCCATTGGATCTATCTCGCAAGATAAACAGAGAAAGACTTGGGATACGACTTCGAGACCTCTGACATACAGCATGAACGAGCTGGCAACCGTATCAGGCTACACCATAGAAAAATTCCCAAGGAAACAATTCACTTCCGTCAAGAGCTACCTCGAGAACACTGCAGATTCACATATTCTCCATTTCCACACGCAACAAAAGCTTGCCACCACCCCCGAAGACGCACGCAAACGATATATCGCCAGACATCGGTTGAAACAACTCATCCCCAAATACTGCCTTGACGAGAACGGTCCATTCGTGCCTTATTGCGATGATCTACAGCCTTCCAGTATGCTCGTGGACCCGGATACGCTCCAGATCACGGGCCTGTTGGATTGGGAGTTTACTAACGCCATGCCGTCTCAATTCTCAAGCGATCCTCCTTGGTGGTTACTTCTTCTCGGTCCAGACATGTGGCTCGAAGACTACAGTCTTAATCAGTTTATGACCCTGTATGAGCCGAGGTTATCGCAATTCCTAAGCGCACTAGAAAAAGTAGAAGAGAACCCAGATTCACAAAGGCAGCACGCTGGATCGCTGCCATTATCACAGCAAATGTGCGAATCGTGGGAAAGCGGACGCTTCTGGTTCGACTACGGGATGCGGAAGAGTTTCGATATCGATGCTGTGTATTGGGAAGCGATGAATGCTCGGTATGATGATAATGCGGGTGTGGAGGTGCTAGATGAGAAGGCACGGAGAGAAATTGACGTTGCTGTATTGGAGAAGATGGGTCAGCTGAAAGCGTATAGAGAGGAGTGTGATGCACGTTTTTACGAAGAGTAGGCGGGTACTTCGAGATGACGAGCGCATGGGAATCAGTACCTTGATACCGACAAGTGGAGATGTGATTGTGTTATCATTGGCAATATGACTTACGCAGGGCGCAGGTGATGGTTAGGTGACCTTCTACCCATGGACCTAAATACTGGAAACAACCTTGCCAAAACAGAGTGGGTAAAGGGTTCGACTGAACCCTTTTCTGAACTAACTAGACCCATCTCACCTAACAAATAACGACATCCCACATTCAGAAAGTGATTCAGTTCATTTCGGGAGCCTTCTCAAGACATCAAAAGGCTCTCAATTCCTCCTGCCCACCATCAGGACCAACCTCATCCTACGGTTAGAACCCCTCTTAACAATTACTTGACACATACCCCATTCTAAAAACAAATTGCGCCTGCTACCTTGAAGTTGGTGGCTCTTAAAAAAGTGTGGGGAACCAACACCTTGTGGGGAAGTTGGGGCGATATTGAAGAAGAGGCTATGCTATGCAGCTTCGGCGGCTCCACGGAGAAGACCACTAGATAACCTGCTTTTCAAAATACCAACCAACAGGAACCAACACTTTCCTATATCTAATCTGTATCTAAAAGCAGCGTTCGGCAAATGGCATTCGATCCCATAGATTTGATTCTTCTATTTTACCTAGGTACATACAGTAGGATATTTCCAGACCTCCTTATAAATAGAATACTTATTTTCATTAAACAAGCTTAACAATTACCGAGGAATTTTCTAAACAAAAAAAGGGTAGGATTTAAGAGAAAGTAAATGTCAATTAACTATATATAACTATCTCCTTCGTGGTACGTGTCCCACGAGGAATATATTCTGCCTAATTAAGGGCGTATAAAGTGGTTTCTAGTAAACCCCATTAAAACACTCTATTTAGTATTATATATAACTTCTACAAAAGTCGAGACAAACTTATATAAACTTATGAATATTATATTTATATATAACTTAGTACTATATTAAAATCAAACATCCGACTATAAAATCCTTCTAACTCTCTATATAAGAAGAGAGGCATTTAAACTAGAGGCTTGCTAAAGCCTAAACACGAAAATTCATTTTGGCGGGGCGAGGACCACGGAGGAGATACCTAAATACGCTCAACTGGGGGTATTTCTATTACCTAATATTTACTTTCTATACATTTCAAATCAAGCAAACAAAGCGAATGGAGTAGATTAAGGCAACTAATCTAGAATTAAGACATAAGCGTAAGCGCAAGAAGTTAGCTAGAACTAGCTTACGAGGTAGTAAGAAGTAGTTAGTAAATTTATTTTATTTATTATTTTCAGGTAGTCGTACCTATAAAAGCTAATGAAGAAATGAAATCTCCATACTAATAAAAATACTACCTTTTGGTAATAGATATACTCCTATTCTCACTATCGAAATACTACCTTTTAGTAATAAAACTACTACTTATAATATAGACATTACTTTACTAACATCTTTACCAGTAAACTAGTAACTTAGTACATAGGTGGTGTTTTTGTCGTTTACCGCAATTTTATTCTATAGCATACTAGAGAGCTATATTAAATACAATATTCTATTCTGAAGCTTCTTGTAAATAGCATTGAATCTTCCATAAGGTCGGTCTAGGATGTGTTTTGCGTACCGAGGGTGGCTAAGCAAGCTTGTATATATCGTTTGATCTATTCGATCACTTGTCCACAACAACAACAAACCCACTGATTGTTGTTGCAAGCTCGCAAAGAGCAGTTTCTTATTAACCCTCCACCATCCCCAAGCTAGTCACCAGATTTAGATAGTAAGATAGGCCTTAATTGAGCGCTTGGCAGCCTGGGCTCCACTTGTTGAGGTGCAAATAGCCTCACAAGTGCCCCAGGGGCTGTTTGACCCAAATAATATATCCTCCATCTCCTACGTGAACCTGAGTATTAGCAAAATATAGAATTGGATTCTAGATGCCGAACGCTGTCTCGCTTACAAGACGCTTATCCGATTCGTCCCCAAGAAGACGAATCTATTATATAGTAGCGGCAGTTCTTCGGAGCGAGTATGAAGGACGTAATATTACAGAACAATAAATCATGGTGTAAAGTTGATATATATTTCTCATCCGCTATACAGAATGGTTACTTCATGTAAGAACATATCACGATAAACACATACCCCTTCAAAACAAGTCACAAGAAATAAATTCTTCCTAACATACATAAGCTCCTAGGAGCCGGAGCTTTGGTAAGCTTGTATCTGATGACTGGTATCAGGTATCGAGCTAGAATACAAAAAGAAAAGAAAAAAAGGAACTCCGGAAAGAACATGCAAAGCTGGGTATCCTGATTAACGCCATCGAAAAAACTCCAAAGGAAACAAAGAGCATTATCGATCCCGATTTCTCCCCCCTCAAAAGGGTTGGGTGAGGTATAGAAAACAAACAAGCTTCTGCGGAGATGTAGTACAGTATCTTGCTTCGTACCAAGACTAGACTCTGAATGCTGTTTTCTTTCTTGTTGGTCAGGAAGGAGATGAAGTTCCGATCCATCTCGCGGATTATTGCGATGGCTTAACAGCACTGAGCGTATGTGCATCTCGAACCATGAACTTCAGAAAACACGTGTGAATCCTGCGATCGGATTTCAAGTGACGGGTAAGTTTTAAAAGTGATCAATACTTCGCCTATCCCCGTCCGCGTCCGCGGCCTCTGCCACCTCCACTCCACCTTGCTAGATTTCCAGTCTTTCTCGCAACACTATCTGCAACGTCACTCTTGAAATGCTTAATGACAAGCTTATCCATTTCCTTCTCAGTCTCCAACTTTGTGATTCTCTGCTGAAGCTCCGCAATCTTCGTATCCTTGTTCTTCAAAGCAATTCGAGTGATATCGCGACCTCTCACAATGCCAGAAATCTTAAGCGAAGTACGAGTTAAACAATCGCGGAGTTTCTGTGTAGTGGGCTCGTCGAGGTTGGAATCTTTAAGAATACCCATGACTTCGTCCGTGACATCGAGTCCAGTTTGCTCGTTGTTAGGTGACTCTGTAACAGCATCTCGGAATCGACTTGGTGTAGTTGGCGTCGCAAATAGAGTTCTAACAAAAGGCTCGTTGTCATCCCATATTCCACCATTGACCCTGACCGCAGGCGTACCAAACAAGTTCTTAGGCTTCAATCCTCCCAGATTTCCACTTGATGGCGTTGGTATGTCAGCCGCTGATATGCGCTTGCCGGTTGGTGTCTCGAATGGATTGATCTTGGCCACCTTTCGTGGTGTATCGGCAATCTTCGCAACGGTCGCAATCTCATCCTGGGATAGAGGAAACTCTCCAAACTCATCGTCGTCTGATTCTGATTGTGTTGATTGAGTTGACATGTCTGTATCTTCCCACTTCCTCTTACTGCTCAGTGTAACGAATGGCGCAGGTTTAATAGATTTCCGCGGTGTTTCTGGTGGCTTCGAGGCATTTTCTAGGACCTTTGTGATAGCGGAAGCTGTCTGGTGCGGGAGAGGGGATGCGCCAAATTCATCGTCGGTCGAGCTTGATAGATTTCTACTTCCAGCGGTGACTGCTCCACCTGCCCTCTTCGCCTGCACTGGTGTCGCATTTGTCGTGTTCATCGCATTCGTCGCAACTCCAAACGACTCCTTCTCAGATCGCGCATTACTCAAAACCGTCGTCTTTTCCCTCTGGACCGCCTGGTATTCCCACAAGAACAAACCACAGACTCGGTCCTGGCAGACGTAGAACCATTTTCCCTGATTCTTATTGTCCTTCTTTACTTGGAATCGTTGGGCGGGGAGTCGAGGGTCGCAGTTACCTATAGAATCATCAGCATGGTCGCATGAGAAGGGGCTACCGAGTAGATCAAGGTATACTCACAGTACCAGGCGCCATCCTTGAACAGTCCTTTGAGGGGCACCTTTTTTGGAGAGCTGAAAGCAGATCGTGAACTTGGTGATGGGCGGGAGAACATTGTGAGTGTAGAGGCTTTGCGCCCTTGAGCAACGATCAAAATATCAAGACTCGATCGCGATAATGCGCAAGTGCGCAGATAACCGTAATCTGCGATTGCGATGCTATTTTAGAACGTTCCAAGGACAGAGTAAATGTTGACTGACGTCTTTGTTGCTCCCCCAACCCCTCCATTTAGCAGGGGGAGCTCTTGTGCCAAGAAACAAGGATCTGCGACCGCCCGCCGGATAATACTCGGCGAGAAGCTTTCAATTACAGCTCCACAAATCCCTCACCCACACTCATCCTGCAAATGAGGATGTCGATAAGAGAATCGACGGCCACCTAAAAAACAACGAATCAGGTTGGATAGTGTAGTGGTTAGCACGCAAGATTCTGATACTTCGGTTTCGGATCTTCTTGAGTCCTGAGTTCAAACCTCGGTCCGACCTTGTTGTTTTTTGCTTTTTGGATTAATTGTTATTTTTTCCGACTCTTTCTTTTCCGGCTCTTTGTTAGGTATGAGCTAGTAAGTGGTTAAGTAGGCTAGCAGAGATTGGTTTTCTTGTCTCTCTATCTCAATAGGCTAGTGTAGGTGACTCTTCTATGAATCTCTAATTCTCCTGAATCACTACCTAGGTACGAATGAGACCGCACCTTTTCTAGGTATTATCTACCTCTAACTCTATGTGTACTCTATGTACAAGGCTCTATGTCTACCTGCAAAAATCAGCATCCTCGCTTATAATTCTTCCTCTCTTTTCATGTGACTCGCTTCGTCTGTCTAACTCCCTTCGTCTATAGCAAAAGGGGCCGCAAAGAACGGGTCAAATCAAACTGCTCCGACCCCCGGAATAACAATCTAAGATTAGTTATCCAGTTCTGGAAAACTTCTGCAGGACCATCGACGTTCAGATTCATTCGATAGCAACGGAAATTTCCTTACCAATACCCCCCCTCTCAATTTCCCACTCTACATCAAGCAACATCTTCCACCCCCGAAATATCATCCGCATGAGCCCCCCACGGTCTCTTTTCCAACTTCGGTGGACCCCCAACCTCAACAAGATGCGCCTCCTTCTCATTCGAAGACTCATCGAACGTAAAAGTTCTATATTCGCACGTTTTCCACGCCGTTCCTATTTTCATCAGCACAACCTCCAATGGATCCAAGACACTTCTAACCTCTACCAGTTTCCAATCCGGTCCAGTCCTCTGTGAGGTGATGGATAAAAGCACCGTGGGTGACGAGTACAATAGAAGTCTCGGGTCGACTCCAAAGCCGGGATCGCATCGCTGCAGCGCGTCGGGTAACCGCTTCTAAGGAATCTTCGTATATCCCTTGCTATACCAAATATCAGTCTCTAAATCCTCACATACGAAATAGCAAGTAGCCAAACTTGAAGCTAGAAGTACAACTCACCTTCCCATTCCATCCCTCCACCAAAAGTCCATAATCTATCCTCTCCCTCTGAAATTTAACATCCACATCCCTCAACACATCCTCCATCACCTCCCTTAACACCTCCACATCCGTCCCCACATCACAAGGCCGTCCACTAATCTCCTGCGCTAACGGTATTAACACCATCTTCACATCTTCCCGCGCAAACACCGGTGAGAAAGCCGTGGCTGCTGTTTGTATCGTCCTCTTCAATCCCGATGCGAGTACGACTTGGACTTTGTTATGGATAGGAAATTCTTCTCGGAGGGCGTGGCATTGCGTGCGCCCGAGGAGGGTAAGAGAGGGGTCTTTGACTTGGGAGTTGCCCTGTGTTTGATTTTGTTAGGGGTGGAGGGGTATTTTGGTCGGGGTTAGGAAGGGAGAGTACCTCGGGTTGGGTTTCGGAGATGTTGTGTTGGCCTTGGCCGTGGCGGACTATGTAGATTGTTTTTGTTCTTGACATATTGGGAAATCTGGTTGGAGAGACAGGAATTGGGGAAGCAGTTTAGATCTTTTGGTGTTGTGAGCTGGGGAAATGTTTATGGTTGAAGATGGGATGGGATTTTGGTCGGGATACCTTCCTTGATTCTGGCCCGATTTCGGCGTTGGAGGGGAGGTCGGGTAAGTTTCTTATCTTACAATACTTTGGTGGACAACTTGTTGTAAATGAATGTATTGATCAAATAGTTTGTTACCTACCACGGCCCTGACTTCAATAAATTTACGCGAATTAGAAGCTATTTGTTGCCTCTATGTTGTCCTCCGTGAGTTTTGTAGACTCTTAAAGCGAATAGTAGACATGATGGTAACAAGTTTGTGTTACAAAGTATTTAAGCTGTTACACCTTGCTGGATATTTCGAGATATGTCTCTCCATTGGCACTTGTACATTATCACTGAATAAATGTCATGAAATGTGCTGTGGGAATCTGTGACAAAAGTGACTCTATGGTTATCACTTGTAAGGTCGTATTTACTTCTAAGCTTTTCTTAGACCTTCCAGTGCAAACTTTTCATTACAATTTACTCAACTGCCTGGAATTGAGGAACGACCGTATTCGTCATCTGAAAGCAGTATTCACTCAGAGGTATTTCAACAGCAGGAGCGACCAACTCAGCCACCTTCCCAACTAACATGTACCAGCCGCACTCCTCCTCCCCATCCTCTCACCAACTCATCCACAACCTACCTCACAACAATCCCATCGTCCTGTCGCCATCAGGTCAATCCAACATCTCTCTTTGATCTAGTTTCTCAGATCGCATCAGCTCAAAGCATACGATACGTCGATACCCACTTCAGATTCACTTTTCCAAAGGCTCTCGGGACTTGTCGGCCAGCATCGTAAAACCCACAGGAACCATGGACGGAACGAAAATTGAGGAGAAGAAGGTTGAGAATGCTTCGGAGGCTGCGAAAGGTGAAAGGAGCGATGACAGTGACCTCGTGGAGAAACCAGTTCTAGATTATGGTCTTGGATATGGAGACTTTTGCTTCGGGCACCCTTGGGAATGGCGTAGACTCTATGGTCCCAACGGGTCATTTGACACCAACGTAATGGAAGCAAGCAACGTGGTAGCCTTGCCTGAAATAACTTCTTTCAATCGGTATGAACAACCTATCATCAGATCACACCTTGTATCATACAAGTGACCTGTGTGAATTAGTTCTGGATGTTTCGACTTTGAAAGACTGCCCATCGATATCCGTCGCCACTTTTTTCGCTTGCTGCTGGCTCCCTTATTTCGTTACAATAGGCAGACTCGAAAATCTGAGTTTGACTTTCGAATTCGCCGTTGGGCCGAGTGGCAGGATGATCCAAAACCACCCACTAGTCGCCGTGGCAACTACATAATGGAACCTCTGCTTCCAAAAATAGCGGTTGATGGGGTTGAACGTACTGATTATCCTTTCCTTGAATGGATCCGCAAAGCTTCCAATGTCAGCAAATCGTTCAGAAATGTACTCGCCGATGTGCTTTGGGAGCGATCTTCACTTGAAATCGATTCGAGCTGGCTTGAGTCTACGTTTGGGGGTTTTGTGCAGGACCGACCAGCGGCATGCGCTGGAGTTAAGGAGCTCTATTTTTACCTATGGTGTGCTTCTGGCCGTTGGGTTTTTGATAGAGATCAGCTCGGAGATTCCTACCTGCGATTCTGTTCTTTTGCTAGCAAATTGAGACTAGAGAATCTTACCGTTAGTCTCCACGTCTTTGCGGGTGACCTTTTGCATCGTATCGAAGAAATTATGGCCGAAGAGGGAGACTATGCCACAGTAGGGGGAACGAGGCAAATTGGAGTCTCGGAGAATTTCAATCTAACAATGAGAGTTGAAGTAAATGTAATCTGGCAGGTCTGGGCCAGTGACAGCACACAGAAAGTCGAAGATTTGGAAGAGAAGTATCAGCCGATGATCAGAGCTCTGATGATGCCAACTAGTCTTGCGAAGAAAATCCAAGATTCAACAACGTCAGAAGTGGGTCAATATCTTAGAACACGGCTTGGATAATAAGAATATCTAGTCTTTTCTCGTTATAATTAGTATTGCTACATTACTCTTTTTATCAGTCAACTAATTTATCCCTCCGATTTTAAATAGAGACATATTATGGATTGAATGACATCTGGAAGCAAGAAATATACCGGGGCGTTTCGATTGAGAATCTCTTCTATCATGGAACCTTCAAATACTTCAACATTGTGAGTCTCAAATGTGACGAGGGATCAGAAGCAAAAGCTAAGCGGGGCTTAGCGTGGCATTAGCTAGCAGAACGCCGATATAAGTGACTACAGGAATAGTCTTTTGATTAGAAACTCCCCTCTCAGCAATTGCCCCAGGCCACAGTAGAGAAAGTATGGCTCGAGAGACTCTTTATCATACGTCCTGCTCTATCCAAGTGATATCTTTATGCAGCTTTCAGAATGATACTACCACACAATCCATTCCCCATCCCCTCCAAACCCCCCTTCGCCCCCGAAATAAAAATAAACCGACAAAAGAAATCCACTTCCCATCTCAAGACCTAAAACCAGACTATCTGTCTATGCTAAGTTTTACATTATCAATTACATGTACCAATGGCAGCTGCTTAAAAGTACTAGATTGTACATATAGATGGTTTGGAAAGCATGGTTGGTACAGTGCAGTGAACCCTTCTTTTCAAAATGCGTCTTTAGACTAGGTTTTTGCATGTAAGATACCTGAGGAGGTAGGGTACTAGTAGTTTAATATATATATGTGGAACACTGAAATTGGTAGCTTTGCTAGGGATTATCCGGAGGCGTGAAAGAGAGAGAGAGTGTGTGTGAGGAGTTTGTACTTGGAGAGTTAGATAGTGGAGTAGCCTGGGCAGGGGGTGATTTTACAAAGTCTGAACCGTTGGTACTAAGCTAGAGCCTAACATAAATAACAGAAACCAATAATGATCCTAATGCAGAACAGAGTAGAAATCCTAGAAATAGTGTCTATTGCAAAGATATATCATCCTGAAAAATCGTGGAATAACAGCTCGCATACCTCCCTAACATTCAACCTCTATGCCAGGCAAAAGTGCTTGTAAAATATCGAGTTTGTACTCCAGAAATGGCATCTTAACCGAACCAATCTTACTACAGAAGGAGAGTCCAAATACCTGCAACGAAGCGAAGAGCAAAACCAGAAAAAATGCCCATCATTCCAAGTCCCAATCTCAGCCAACGGTCTCGACTACGGAGAGTTTAGTTTTCGACCTCACGATATGGAACATCAAGAAGTCACTAGCAAAGTCCGAGTTGGAAAACAAAAATCTAGAGTATCTTTGCATTGAGCATGTGTTCATCTTTTTTGATTTACAAAGCAATCGTCAGGCTGTAGCAAGTTCCGCTAAATAAGATCGCAAGCCATCGACAAGTAAATGACTCCCCGAGAAAATTTAGAAACATTTTCTATAGAGCCGGAGTAGGTTGTGGGAACATGTGTGAACACCTCCTTGTATCATCACAAGTGTCATTCAAAGAATGAACTTCATAGTATGAAAATCCCAATAGCAAAAGCAGCAATCTATATGACTACCTCCATATCCCCATGTTCTTTGTCAATCGTACCCCGGAAAAAGATTGTGCAGGGCGAAATATCAAGTATCTTCTATAGAGTCAGCTCGAAGTAGTTCACTTCTTTAGCGGATGATGTAACGAACCATTTTCGTGAGAATCCGCCAAAATCAAATAGTATCCACCGATTGGAAAGCGCTTATCAGATTCTAATATGATGGTCGTGAGTCGAGATATTTCTCCTGATCCGAAACCTCTTGTCGTGGAGCTTTTTTCCGAAGAGTGTTGGGCATCATTAGTCGTTGTATTTGGGGCAAATATTTGTCTTTGATCATATCGTTGTAAGCAAACCATCTTGATTCTCTGTATTTGTCACCAATATCAGAAACTTCGTAATCTTCATCGTCGGTATCCGCATTGTCGTCATCCTCGTCATCTTCGTCATCTTCAGAAGCGAGCGCATTCTTATACTCTTCGTAGTCCCAATTTTCGAACTTATCAACATCAAATTCGATTTGAAGCGATATCTCAAACTTCTTCGCAACGACCAATTTCCTCGTTGCTTCTGCAGCAACAAAGTCGCCTCTTGCAGCCAACAAATCTTTGACGTCCATTTCATTAATACTTAGGCACAGGTGCAAAGTCTCCAATCTTATAGTCTCTGCAAGGAACTCAAATCGCCCCGTGATGGTTTCGACTTCCTCCTTCTTGACATATGGCCAACTCTTTTCGTCGTTGTCTGCATAGACTAGAATACTTGAGACACCAGCACATACGGCGGGCCTATCCTTCAAAAAGCTGCAGAGCTCATCGAAATAGCGTGTTTTGTCAGGTTCGCGACCCAAGAAGATATGCAGATGAGAACGTCCCCAGAATGCATCGCCAAGCTCTTTTCTGAAATTCTTACCCACGAAGGAGAGCTGTCGGATCCACTCACGAAACATAGAAGGGGTGTTCTTGCGATCAAACATCTGTGATGTTTGTAAAGTTGGGATGAACCTATAGCTTCCGCTTCGACCGGGATATACCTCTGACGCCTTCAAGAGCCGCTTCCGTGTCTCCTCAAACTCTGCTTTTTCCTCGTCATATGTTTTGGGCACGTATCCTGGTGGTGTGCTGATGAACATTGGATACATCTTCTCTTCTCTTGCCTTTCTTTTTTTCTCCGTAAACTCATCAAAGGTGAGATTGTAATCTTCATCAAATTCACGGTGATGTTTGATTGAAGAAAACGTGTAGAGTTGCGTATTTTTACCATTTCCGCCTTCAAGCCTGTAAAATGGAGCGAGTATCAGGCGAAAGATCTGCCGGCGGATTTCCAGGGGCAATTTCTCGTATTCAAATATTCCAATCCTGGAAACATACATGAGAAATGTTTTCATCTTGTCGAGCATGTCAGGGAACGTACCGTTTGAATGAATCAACCTCCGTGGAAGTGGTTCCGTCACTGTCGTCGCTGTCCGATTCAGATGTGGGATCTAAAAGTGCCCTTCTTAGAAGCTTTGAGGAGGTATAGTCACTTCTGTCACCAAAGTAAAAGTCACCATATCCATCGGTAAAAGGGGCGGTAAAGGCTTTGGTCGTGACAGTCTTCTCGACACCAGCGGCTTCATCAGCGAAGACAGTAGCAAGAGAGATGCGTGCTTCGTCATTTTTCGTGGATTCCACCTCATCCGCACGGTCACCAGACGCGTGCTCGGGTTCAGGTGGCGGCGGCTCACGACCATTTGACATCATCATGGTGGCCGTTTGAGGATTGCAGGTTCCTGGATGGTACTGGGAGTCTGGGAAGTGGAACAGACTTGACGGGAATATGGTAGAAGTTGAAGGGGAGACTGGCGCGTCGAAAGGAGTTACGTAGTCAAGAAGGGGGGAAGAAGAGAAGCGGGAGTTCAAGAAATGAACCACCAACCGCGTTGATGACGAAATGAAGACTGTTGATGGATCCGGAGACCCGATGAAAGGAAGAATTCCCGCGGTGATCGCGGGATGTGTCGATGACTCGCGCGACCTGTCGAAAGCGCGATGACCTGGGATGGTGGAGAGTTGTCAAGTTCAGAATGGGAGAGAGAGGCTCAGGCTTAAGTGTCGGCGCGTCGCGGTTGTTCTCTGGAAAAGGAAGGAGCACTTGGTGAGGGGGGATGTTGCAGGCGGAAACCCAACTCACGTCGCTACTTCCTCCCCGAGAGCAACACACTCTACGACTGCGAACAAGACTGGCGACGATGGACTCACATTGAATTTACCCTATGAATTTACCCTACCGCTTATTCATGGCTCATGAAGTTCAGTAGACGATACTTTTAAATGGGCCATCGAACACCATTGTGACAGGATAGTAAGTCTTTTGCTTGACTGTGCTTCTCTTCTGCTTTCTAGAAACGTCTGGTATGTGAATAGTCATGCCGAATGTAATCTTAAGTTGTGAAAAGGGAGAGTAAGCGAAAGTTGTTCAAAGTTATTGAAGAAGTAGCATATCTTACCGGTTAAAGAGAAGACTGCTTATAGGGTAGCCGAGAATGAGGGATAGTTAGTTACATAGCCATTTCTGATCGAATGTCGAATAACGATTGTTCTCAACCACTGTACTTGGTACGGGAATTTATGCTTTTAAACAATGCTTGTTCAATAGTATCACTTGAAAGTCATTGAACAGCCTAAGTAATGAAAATGTGCGAACATTTATCTAGAAATGTTCGTAAACTACCAGAACGATGGCAGAAGTCGTGGAAATAATGTAACACAACTTCTCAAGAGGAGATGATGAAGAAAGTAGGAGGATGAGAAAGAGGGAGAGACTCGAGAGGATACTTGAGAGAAAGGTTCCTTATACATTATCCTCAAATATAAAAGCATCGTATTTCGCTTAGACACTTTGTACAACTGGTAGGTAAGTTGAGATAAAGTAACTATTCGAGTTTCTATTAGACAAACTTACAAGGTTCTTGTTAGTTACACTCGCCATTCCCACAACTCTCAGCGAGAAAGAGTTTCTTTAGTAAGCTGGCATTTAAAGAATCAGGTACGAGTACCTACACACTGTAGTACATGTGAGAAAATTATATATCGGCTAGGTCTGGGTCTGCCGATTTAGTTGAAGATCAGCCGGAGACATACTGTGATCAGCGACACTGTCTAATTTTAACTACCCATCCCCTTTAGGAAATTTACGAGGGAGTTACAATGATTGCCTGTGCTTAAAGGTGGATAGGTCTAAGTGGATGCGACAACTAGGTTGAGTGAAGGCCCAGTTGCTTGGAACCGCAGCCTGGTTGGTCAAAATTTACGAAGGACGAAGAAAAGTATAACTTCATCTATTCCACAATGGAAAGGCCATAGAAAAATGCGCACTCGAAGTGGATACAAAGAGATGCAGTAACTAGATCGAATTAAGGCTCCACGACCGCCAAACTCCCCACGGGGGCCCAAGGTAATAAATCTAAGCTTTTTGGGCCTAGGCTACTCCAAAAGCCCTGTGGAGCTCGCCCTGCTAAGTTGCTACTCCTTTTTGAGCATCTTCAGAGCTCGGGGTATTTTGATAATAGGAGTGAAAGTTTATTTAAAAGAGGTTCAGCCTTAAATCGGGGCCCTTCTAACCTCTGCCATTGATGCTCATGGAATTCAAGTCTTTTCCGTCCAGTCCCCGAAGACTTAGCCTGGTTAGCTAAACAACTGTGTTCTGCGGGGAAGATATAACAAGAGTGGATGTATTTATTCTAATTCTAGTATACCTGCTCTACACTCTTTCTCGTCTGTAAAGGATTCAGTAATGACCTGGCAATGGTAAGTAAATGAAATTAGACAAGATATTGTATTGATTAGAGATTTATGAGTTTCCAAGGAGGTAAGAGGACGAAAGAGGAAGAGAGGGTATACGAAAAAAAGAGTACTTACTTATATGAGCTTTTCCATACGAAACTCTCATACCAAATTTCGAAACTTTAGAAATGGACTATGGGTTGAAATAAATCAGCAGGTTAGGATTACTACGAGATAAACTCCCACAAAACTTTCATGGTCTAAACTAGAAATTGGCGGGTTTTCTTGTACAGTAAATCTTTACACGTAGAGGCCCCTCTGTTCCCACAAATCTCGGCGGGAAAAGAAAGCTTGTTCATCACACTCATTGAAAAGGAAACAAAAAAGGACTTCGTCCTAGGCGCAACAATAGTTGAGTTTACTTGTACAAGGGATCCTCAGTGAGCAACAGGGTAAAGATCTCCGTCAACTCAACCTTTGTCACGCCTAGGACGGAGTAGGAGTGTAGTAAGCATCAATTCTTATTTCTGCTTAGCGGAGCTACTAGCATGGCATGGTTGCTCATCCATACAAAGATCTACCCCAATACCCAGCCAAGCGACCCCATCCAGCTCAGCATCCAAGCGCCGTACACAGCCGCAAATCAACTCACTGTTTCACTGTCTTGTAAATACCAAGCCACAAGCCAATGATTGCCGGGCAGACATCGGGTGTGAGATTAAAGTGTTGAAGCTAAGCTTTCGGGGGCCAGCAGATCGTGACAGCATTGAATCCCTTCACGTAAATCGCAGGCGGTGACACATCAGCGAGAAACAGCAGAATATTTCCCTATCCCATTCTTACTATATCAACAAGAGCTCAATTAACGACCATAAAGTACATTGGGACCAGAAAAAAAAAGCTGGAAAAAATGAGGAAAAAATGAATTTCTAAAAAAAAACGGATTTTAGGTTTGTTTACTTACGTACAGAGTCATTCAACGCAAATGATCTTGACGCCACTTCAAGAGGCACAGCAACAACGACCTTACCCTTCCTTATATGGGTCAATCCACAACCAATTTAGGTATTCTGACTGTGTCTCCATGCACCTGCACGGCGGTCAAGGTTTCATGCGGAGGTACTAATACAATAGCCTCCAGAAGTCCAAAATAAAGATAGAATACCTCCCTACCATCCTCTGAAACTACTCATCCCTAATAGCCAACGCCATAAAAATGACTCGATATATCGTCCCTCTCATACTATTTATACTTTCCTCTACGACCGCACTGGATCAATGCTTCTACCCCGATGGAAAAACGGTAGATCCGCAACATGTCCCGTGTAACCAGACCGCAGGTATAGCTACAAATACCTTCTCTTCGTGCTGTTCGAGGCCCGATGCGTGTACAACAAGTGGCTTGTGTCTGGGCTCAGCAGGATGGGTATACAGAGGAAGCTGCACCGACGCCTCATGGGCATCCCCCAACTGCGCGAAGCAATTCCCAAAATGCAATACTCGTAAGTCTGCACTGCCCCATTTCCAAACTTCGCCCAAAAAACAAGTCTGACAAAACATCCCAGATCCGGATGGTACTCTATACACAAGCTACGCCGTGCTAAAGACCTGCGCAGCGCGAAGCGCTATGTGGGCTCCCGAATACTGTTGTGGTGAAAACGGCGTCGAGAATCCTGATTGCTGCCAAAACAACTTCACGCTCGGAATCACGGGTACTGCGTATCAACCTGGAAACGATGTCGTTATGGCTCGNCGTCTCGCGAGCCTCACATCGGGCGCTGCAGCCACCGTCACCGCGACCCTAGGCCCTACCTCCACAGCAGGTCTAACAGCTAGTTCTGAGAGTTCAGGCATGGATCTTGGCACGAAAGTCGGGCTCGGTGTTGGTATTCCACTTGGTGTGCTGGTTCTTGGAGCTTTGGCATTGATGTTTTGGAGGGAGAAGAGGAAGAATGCGTATAAAGGGGTTGATACTTCTCCTTCCTCTCCTATGGCTGTAGCACCCGGACCGTATGAGGCTGCCTCTCAACATGGCCGTGCCAATAGTAGTATCACTGGCTACACTGTTACCCCGCAACAAGAATACTCTTCTCCGATTCAGCAGGGTCACCACAAAGTGCATGAAGTGCCGGCGGCTGCTCATAATACATATGAGATGCCTAGTTCCCAGAATTAGGGTTGAAATTGGTCGATGGGCGGGGCATTGTTCAGTTTGGATCAATGGAAAGAGTGGATGTATGTAAATACCGAGCTTTGTGTGATGATACCCGTGCAAGGACAGATAGAATAATATTACAGTATAATACCAAGAATCTTTAAAGACCGAACCACATGAAATGACGAGTATATATAGCAGTTTATGATCCTTATTGTCCCCAAACTTCCCCACACTTCACAGTAGTTCATAAGATAACTAAAACAATTATCATGGAAGTTCTCGAGCCATCGAATGTCGAATCAAATTTAATGATCGGAAAGAAACGTGCTATCTACTGCAACCCCTATATTCATTACTAGACCAATTATATATTGTCGTGAAACAAATCCCTCTTTAATTAGGCATCTCTGAATGAACTATAAATCACCAGTCGCTTAATTTGACGTCAGCCTCCAACAACCAAAATAAAACGTGGAGGAAACTTATTTTCTATCCCCTACAAACACAAAGAAATTTATTCGTAATTACAAGCCAAGAAGACCAGTTTCTTTACTAATGACCTTATAGTTAGATAGTAATTCCGTGAATAAGAATATAGTATCTTATAGCTCATCCTTGAATGGAGTTTATTATCGGAAACCCGCGATATTTATATCACTAACATATATTTCTATAAGTTGATTACGGGTGACGCTTTCCGCTCTATAGCAGCTCCTTTGTAATCCTCAAATGAAACACTAAAGATAGCCTTTAGAAAATATACAAGATTCCGCCTCAAAAGACAGTTCACCGCCCTCTTATTCACCTCCTACCGCCGTATTTCCTGTCACAGATACAGAACTTTTTGATATGCACGAGGCACTCGCTGAAGACATCTTTGGAATTATGGATGATATGGTCATCCCTCCTGAGCTGCACTGGGCTGTCATAACATACATGAGAGGTATGAAAAACTACCGATGACTTTCTAGACTCATGCAAGTTCTTGCTAAATCAACGGTGTAGCCTTTCTGAATGTCAACTACCATGAGGCGCTAGCTGCAGTGTGTCGTCAGGTGGTATTTGTTGGTGGACAAGCCGCTATGAATCTTCTTCAGTCACTGCCTCGACGATGAGCCTCGATCTTGACTGTTGCACCGACCGACAATCCTGTCTTCTGCAAACATGGAGTATTCCAAAACGAAGACTACGACATAAGAAACGTCCTCTGCGAACGATCCGGATGTGAAGGTGGAACCGTAGCAACAAGTGTCCGATTAGAGGACAACACAGTATATTGGAAAGCAACTTGCACACAATGTCCCCCAAATTTGATATTGGTCAACAATTGTTATGAGGGTACGCCTACCCAGCCGCGCAAACCCGAAAGCAGTGGTTCTACGGCTCCAAATGCGAACTTTTAAGACTTACAAAAACAGGAGATCCCGAGGTGAATCCACCCCCCACGCCCAATACGTTGGGGACCAGCCCTACTACACCAAAAACCAATGATCCTGGATACACCCATGATAAAGAGAACGGTACGCATACTTCTGACACCAACACCACGACCACACCAAAAACCAACGATCCCCAAAGTACCGGTGATAACGGCGATGGTACAAATAGTACTGTCCCAGTCGTAGCAACAACAAACAATGCTGCGCCTACATCCGGATCTCTTTCGCTCGTGGCTTTTACAGTTGCGATGTTCACTGTCCTCATGGTCTGATTGAAAAACAAATCGCGAACGGGGAGTTTTTGGTATTCTTATACACAAGTCTAATACTGGGACTTCGTTTGGGCTTCTAGGGATCTGGCGTTATGGGAGTTTGTTCGGGACTGCAGATGCCCGAATTTAGAAACGGTTCTGAAGCTTGGTTGGAACTTCGCTCATGTGTGTACACTCATGAGTTTGGTCAGCAGATTCAGTTGGCTATTATACCCTCATAGCGTGTTTGTATTGTATATCATTAATGTGGTTCGAGAGAAGCCGCACTTGGAACGAATCATGAAGTAGTCGGAGATATGTATGTATGGAGGAAGGGCTTTTTGGGGTTATAGCGGAGCTTGGAGGTATTCCCAGTACTTCTACCTTTCTCTGTATTTTAGCACTATACCAAATAGATAAGAAGAAGAATCGCATACCCTTAGGGTGAGCCTCACTCTTGACTGCGGAAGACAAATTACATATGAAGTAGCCTTTTGCTAGTCAATTGCAAACCTGAGTTTTATTTCCAGTTAAGCGAAGTAGTATAATGGTCTGGCGTTGTAGCGGGTGAGAATTAGTGACCTGTACTTCAGTTTTGGTCGGCTTTGATTGAATCGCCTTGATATATACTGAATAAACTTATTTTTGTGTTATTTTCTTCATTCTACAGTTGCAATCAGCTGTACCCAGTGCTAACTTGCCTCACCGCGACTCATTAGTCCTCATGTGTTGGTATTTGGTCCTGCTATTCCATCACGATGCACCCCACTTCACGAGATCCATTACTCCATACATTGCTTTGATGATCGGGAGTATGAGACAGGAAGTGAAATGCGGAAAGATATTATAGCCACCTGTGGATATAACCACAATCGTTTGTCTGGGAAGAAAGAAGGCAGTCCCAGAACCCACAGTGATATTTACATGACATGAAAGCTAGATATCTTGATTTACGATACTTCCTCTTCCAAAAGCCAATGCGGCTATGATGTAATGGGTGTAAGTCGTTCTCGAGGTTAAATATGATATAAAGGGTTATTGAGGGATGAGAGGAGAACAGTTTCTTCAAATCGGATATATATGACAGATACAAAGGCTCTCGCAGATATCTTTTCTTTTCACGGTAACCTTTTCTATACTCAAAAATGCTCTAAATAATTTGAGCATCCAGGATAGTTGACTGAAAAATTCATGATGGCCGAAGCTATTATGCTCAAGACTTCAAGTCAATTGTTAATACTGTAAGCTTAGTTATGCTTGAAATCAAAAACAAAAAGGAAAGAGTCATACACTTGTTCTACCGCCTTTGGAAAACCTGCACAGGTTCCTCAAGGAAGGCAGGCTCGGCTTGAACCATTCCGGCCCAAAATCGCCGATCTAATTCCGAGCCGAGATTCAAGCTCTCCGACCCGTTTCCGCCTTCCGCCTTCCGCCGGCCCTGCCACCCCGCGTTTGGGGATTCCGGGGAAAGGGAGCATGGCATTTCTCTGGCCAATACCCAATACATGCGACTCCTCCGTACACGCCCATTCAATACCTCAGCATCTGTTCTCGTTGCTAGCGGCTCTTCTTAGAGCTTATAACTCATTCCAGGTTAGAATCAGATGACGTCAAACACCTGATGTCCCGTCTCTTCTTTGTGTCTAGTGACCCCTCATCCGAACCGAAGCTCTGGCCCGTGGACACTAAGATGGCTATATATTATATTGACCGCAGCTGTCGGAAATCCCAGCAACCTGTCTCCTCGACCTCGATATATCATGCAGAAGCTCTGTCGGTATTGATCTGCTAACCTCCAGGTGCAGTCATCAACGTCTCCAATCACATCCACAGCCACAGCCACAGCCATAGCTCTGGTTGCGCCCAGGCAATCAATCAACCGAGGTAATCCTCCCCTCCATGACAAAAAGCTTGTTGCCTTGAGCTCATTACTCAGAACGGAAAAACTTAAGAATTCCAAGAAGCTGCACACGAATCAACTTTGGCTTTTTCTCATTATCAATCTATCTGGGCGCGGCGTTGCTCCCTCAGCCCGCTACGTCGTGTCTCTTGAAGCGAGAAAACATTCGCGGCTATAGGGCACTCATCCAACCACCATACATCCTCTTGTCCGGAGAAGCGGGCCTCGATACAACCACAATCACCAACCACTGTTGCTTGTAAGTCGTTTGAGCCAAACCACGCTAACAACAGCTCCTCTTTTCTGCTGCTCCTCTATCACCTCAAAGTATCTCACCGACTGAGGAGTCCTTTCACATGCTCTGACAGAACCCCGGTTCTCTGTTTCCGAATCAGGACGGTCGTGCCTTTGCACTCACTCGCCCAACCTCCGTATCCCCATTCCAGTGCTACCCAGCAACAATCATCTCTTGACCTATCGTTCACATCTGCCTCGTCATCCGTCCGGAAAATAATTCCCCGGGGAAGAGGATTGTGAGCAAGATCTCGAAATATTGTGCAGATTTTACCCATAACATTCCCAGGTATGTTCCATACACTTATTGTCACGTTGTCCGGAGGTATGCCCAGATATCAAAACTCGGCTCTGCGGAGAGTAAACATGCGTTCGGCACTCCTCCCCTACTAGTGTACGAGTGGAGTATCGCTCTCGGGTTGCATGTGCCTTCTGGCCGGTGTCATGTTAAAACAATGAGGTTCCAAATGTTGTCCAGTCCCCCCGGGCGTTTGGTACACGGATAGATCATGCAGGGCTTGCCCCCACTACACTTTGAATCTCTCTTTGGCTCCCAGCTATAACCAAGCCTTTTTTCTCCAGTAGAGGGTGGACCTCAGATATTTCCTCTGTTTCTAAACATTTTTTCTCCACACTCTTTCTTGTGGGCATGCCGTCATATTATCTTCAAGACTGCCACTATTTCTACCGTACAGCCTTGCGCGGTTTAAATATATGCACTTCTGTTTCTCCTCTATACGCTTGAAGACGGCAGACTAATTCATCATGCCTTCCTCTACCACCTCAGTTCGTATATTTACAATGCCCAAATCCTTGAATGAATCCCTCGCGGAGCCAGGTCATCCAAAATCGGTCTCGGAAAATGGCCGTTCACTCGAAAAGGCGAAGGAAGTGAGTGATGCATACACGAAAGATCAAAAAGACCCTTTAGCAGGCAATCAACCAAGTTTTAAACAAGGTATCACTTTTGCTGCTCAGGATAAGCTTCCTAAGCTACCTATTCCCGAGTTGAAAGATAGCATGACAAAATATCTGGCCGCTCTCAAACCATTACAGTCGCCACGGGAGCATGCGGAGAGCCAGCAAGCGGTTGACGAGTTTCTGAAAAGCGAAGGACCGGATCTACAGGAAAAGCTAAAAAAGTATGCTACAGGAAAGACAAGCTATATCGAGCAATTTTGTACGTCATCAATATCGAAACCAGAATATAACTAATTTGTCCTAGGGTACGATTCGTATCTCAATTTTGACAACCCGGTCGTCCTCAATCTAAATCCCTTCTTCCTCCTCGAAGACGATCCTACCCCTGCGAGGAATAATCAAGTCACCCGAGCTGCTTCGCTTGTCATATCTGCACTTTCATTTGTACGTGCAGTGAGAAGGGAGGAGCTACCTCCGGATTCTTTTAGAGGCACACCGCTGTGTATGTATCAATACTCGAGACTCTTTGGTACAGCTCGGGTGCCGACAGAGAATGGCTGCCATATCGGTCAAGATCCTGACGCCAGGCATATTGTGGTCCTATGCCATGGGCAGTTTTATTGGTTTGATGTACTGGATGATAATTCCGATCTGATCATGACGGAAAAAGATATGTCACTAAATCTACAAACGATCGTCGATGATGCTCAACAAACACCAATCCAAGAAGCAGCCAAGGGAGCTTTGGGTGTTCTCAGTACCGAAAATCGAAAGATTTGGTCCGGGTTGAGAGATGTCATGACGAGAGATGAGGGTTCGAACAATGCAGATTGTCTTGGAATAGTAGACTCTGCTTTGTTCATTCTTTGCCTTGATTACACCGAACCAGCTTCAGGGGCTGAGCTATGTCAGAATATGCTTTGCGGGACCAGCCTTATCGAAAAGGGAGTCCAAGTTGGTACTTGCACCAATCGATGGTACGACAAATTACAGATCATCGTTTGTAAGAACGGTAGTGCAGGTATTAATTTCGAGCATACTGGTGTTGATGGTCATACTGTTCTCCGATTTGCCAGCGATGTATACACGGATACCATTCTTCGATTTGCTAGAACTATCAACGGTCAAGCACCAAGTCTATGGGCATCAACCAGTCCTGATCCATCAAAACGTGATCCAGAAAGCTTTGGGGATGTCAACACGACGCCACACAAACTAGAGTGGGACATGGTTCCAGAGCTTGGAATTGCCTTGCGTTTTGCTGAAACTCGTCTTGCCGATCTGATTCAACAAAACGAATTCCAAACGCTCGACTTCGCTCACTATGGAAAGAACTTTGTCACTTCAATGGGATTCTCGCCTGATGCATTCGTTCAAATGGCATTTCAAGCGGCTTATTACGGTCTATATGGTCGGGTTGAATGCTCATATGAACCAGCCATGACCAAAGTCTACCTTCACGGACGTACAGAAGCCATTCGTTCGGTGACTCCAGAGTCTGTTGATTTTGTGCAGACTTTCTGGGGTGAGGTCCCACCACAACAAAAGGTCGATGCTCTCAAAAAGGCTTGTCAAAAACATGTTTCTATCACTCGGGAGTGTGCGAAAGCTCAAGGATGTGATCGTCATTTGTATGCTCTGTTTAGTGTCTGGCAGAGAGCATTAGATGACGATGGAGCGGAAGCAGCAAGTTCCAACGGTCCAAGTAGTAACGGGTATTCCAGTCCGCTTGAAGGTACTTCAGAAAAAGACCCCTCATCCATAGTCGGCAGTCCAAGCAGAAACTTCATCCTGAGCGGCGTCGAAGACACAGAAGCGCAACCTGTCCCCACCCGAGCTCGCCACAACTCCTCGCCATCCCCGCGAAACCACCAATCCAACATGCCACACCTCTTCTCCAACCCAGGCTGGGATAAAATCAACAATACCATTCTCTCAACCTCGAACTGTGGGAATCCAAGTCTAAGACATTTCGGCTTTGGTCCCACGACAGGCGATGGTTTCGGTATCGGATATATTATCAAGGGAGACGGAATCAGCATCTGCGCATCCAGCAAACACCGACAAACGAAACGCTTCGTCGATGCCTTGGAATCATACCTCCTTGAAATTCGACGCATCCTCCGCGCCACACAACATCGAGGCGCCTCGCCTAAAGCATCACGTGCTCGAGAAGCGTCTTCGAATCGTCCGGCAGCGGGATCACGATTGAAGAGTCGTGGCAGGGTTATCAAGGGAAATGGTGTGCTAGGCGCCGAAGAGAAGGAAGAAGAGAAGGTGGAGAAGGAAGAGAGTGATGATGAGGGTCTAGGTGGATGTGAGTATTCTGTTGAGAGGGTTCTTGAGGTGTGGATTGAGGCTGATGAGTGGACAGATGGGTTCTTTGACGCGGGGATGTTACTGCAGGCCTTGAAGGCGAGGGGGAAGGAGGAGGCGGAGAAGGTTGTTGGGGGTGGGAGGAGGGAGATTGGGAAGAAGTTGAGGTTGAGTGAGTATTGAGGTTTGGTTACGTGGGAAAGAATGTGCGAGTGGGAAGGGAATGGGGGATTGTTCTAATACCATTTTGTCTGGGGGGCATACTGGGTTTCTGTATGTAATGAGGTTTGTTAGTGGAATTGGATGGTATTTCTTGGTGTTTACCGTGTACCTTGTTCCCGGACTTTACTTCTTCCTGCAACGCTCAAAGAGTATAAGACTCGTGAATTCTTTCCCTTCTAGGTATTTTCTTCCATCCCCCCAAAAGCCTATTACTACCTAAATACCTACCACCCAAGTACTCAGCCACTCACTGAAAGCCCTTCCCCATGTCGAAACTGGGCATATAACCCCCTCCTCAGCACCACTAGAACCAGAGTATCACCAATCTCCCAAAACTAAATCGGTGTTGGCTAGCAAAGATGTCATAAATGCCGATGAAGCGTATCCTGTACATTTACCAAAGACAATGCTATGGTCAGAATGTGATCTCTGCGCTTCTTCCGTAGGTCTCAACGAAGCACGACTCTTTGAAAGGTTTTGGGGGAGGGTATGATTACTGTCGCGATGGTGGTTGTTGTCGATTTTAAGGCGAAGATTCGGATGAATCAGCTAACTCAGGGGATCTCGCAGTGCCATGCTTTGTTGGGGTCTATCGAGGGGAAGGGATGCGTAGGGTGCGTTGGGGTTGGGGTTGGTGGTTGGTGGTTGTGTGGGGGTGCTGGACGTCCAAAGTATACGTAGCGTAGATTTTCTCTTTTCTCTGTGGGGATATTTTCTTGGAGCTGGTTGGGGGGTTTATAGGTTTTTGAGGTGGTTGGGGGGGATGGGATGGGGAAGGGGAAGACGACTGCGGTAAGGTGTTCATCTTTGTAGATTGGTAGAGGTACTGGGTTGTGAGGGTTATGGGGGTAGTGTTGGATATACCTACTGTCAGATTACCTTACTAGAGATGTAGTGAGTTAATACTGGTTCTCGGTGTAGGTTCTAAATAGTCCCTGCAATAGTACAGTACAATGAATCATTTTAGTGCCTAGTAAAGAAGAATATGTATTTACTACAAGAGATTACTCTTTGGGTAGCAGTCTTCCACCAAGGACTTGTTGGAATCTTGGAATACATGAATTGTGGAGGTATATTGCTATGGTAGACTTGTATTGTTGCGTTGCAGAAAGAAGTATTGGGAATTGATGTTGGGGCTGAAGGTTCAGATATTCAAACCAAGTTATCTGGAACAACCCCCATTCGGAGTGTGAAACACAACCGCACTGTAACTAACCTACTTAAATGTGGGCTGTCTTTCTTCTTCTTCTTCAAGATCGAAAAGAGACAATAAAAAACGTAAGACAACGAGAAGGGTGGATCGCAAAACTTGGCATTCGTGATTGGAAGGGTCTCGTATGTAAACCTAGATAGGTGGACGTTTCTTTCACAGGTGATCTGTCTGGAGTGAGGAGAAACGTGTTCTTAGGTCAGGTGTTTTGAGGAGATTTACTGTCGTGTAGGTTTTTTCTGTCGGATGTTGTGAGGATGTTCGCTTAACTTTTGGGGTGAACAAGGATTTGCTTTCTGGAGAATGACACCTACGGGTTCTGAACTACACTCCAATATACCTCCCCCAATCTAGGAGTGAAGAGCTGCAGTAAGCAACCAGCGGAGAATTCGGTTTTCTGACCCCAACTTGAGGAGCGGGCTCTTGAAAGCAGTTCGCTCTGTAACATGCGGTAAACTGCAGCTGTGCTACCATCCCCAAAGAAAACCTCTGGTCGTAATCACAGCATTAATACCGCATTTCAATATCTTAATACCCTCTATCTCCAACTGTTTGTGGCGCCATTGGACTCCCGAGCCTAGAATACGCAATGGTTGTAGAGTCTTAGCCACAGAAACTCCCGCCATCACTATTCTATAGATTTGGTACAATTAAAAGGAAGATACCTTAATTTGACACATTAAGTTGAAGACAGCATGAATGGATTGAGGTAGACTTTCGCGGTAGGGACCACTTGAAGTAGCTAGGGGAGATGGGTTTATGTAGTCCGGTTCTGGTGACTTCTAAGCGAGATTTGGTCCACGGGGAGGTTTCAGATTCCTATGGTTTATTGATGGCTTTCTCAAGGCAATGGGTTGGAGGTTGGATCTTGAGATACATGACTTTCTGTGCTGGGGTTTTCAGCTCGATGTTAATATATGCTCAAATTACCAGGTTTGCGTGGGTTGTATGCTCAAGTTAATTGGTAGAACACCTATTCAGCCTCTAAATAAATTCCCCAGATGAGGCCGCAAAAGTCGAAACTTAATCATCAATTACCGTATAATTGCCAAATTAGCATCATTTCCTTGATACGGATGACCTAACTGGCAGTAGCTCGGCTCCAGGAGAAAGTTGATAAAGAGATTTCGAGTGCTCTTCACCACTGTTGTTCGCACCCTCCCCTTAGAATTTCGCGAGCATAAGGTCGTAAAATGGGGTTCAGTGAGTCTATGCTACGCAAACTAGCCTCAAGGTATTCACCCGGTAGCCCGAAGTCCATAGATTGGGGGGACTCGGAGGACTTTTGGGAATGGAGAGTTTAGCATCAGAGCAAGAAAATCCGAATGTTCCACGTTCGTGGAAGAAGTTAATGTCATACAAAGATTTGCTGTCAACGTTCATTCACTGTCGAAAAGGTTGTAACATTCGTTTTTGGGATGTGTGATGATAAGTAAGGTCTAGATTGGTGATAATGTGTTGGAGTCTTTGGACATTATTCCGCTCCTTGAAGGGAGGTAGGACTAAATCATTGAATTGCTGACCCTGGTCTCTATATTTCTTGGGTTTTGGATAGATCTTTGTTCAACTGTTAGTATGTTATGCAGCTACTTTGGTTACAGTCAAAGATACACTATGAATATGTAATACCGATACTTGATATCGACGTTGAAACAGGCGCAAGCTGTAAGACTGAAAGTGGATGTGATGCACTAAAAAGTAAAAACTCACATATTCCAAGTGGAGAGGATACAAATAACTACGTCCTTGAATATTTGTATTGCGTAAAATTGATCTTCGGTTTCGAGACAACAGAACCTCCAGTCAACCCGTCTCTTAGATCCTTTCAATCCTACATGGTAAATCCCCCGCAGGTTGGCTTAATTGAACTTGATAAGCCCTCTCCCCCACTACTCGCTTAACCGAACCTGGCTGCTCTAACTCTTCATAGACATCTCTCACAACAAAATCTCGAGCAACCATGCACACGAGAATTTTTGACTCCAGCATTGCCAATACCTGACCAATATAATTCCTTGCCCCATGTTCAAAAGCCCTCCATGCTCCCTTCGGAATTTGCTTTCGCTTATCCTCCGACCACCTCTCGGGCTGAAATTCATCGGGGTTTTCCCACAATTCAGGTGTATGATGGACAGCATGAGGATTTACCCATACAAGAAAATTCTCCGTGGGAAATCTCCGTCCATGAGAATCGGTGACGAAAAAGTCACGTTCGCCATCACAAGTGCTACTGACTGTCGGGAATAAACGAAGCGACTCTCTGATGACGGCAGTCGTATAAGGAATTTCCTTGAGTAGTGCTGGTTTCTGGGTGATTCTTTCTGAAATTTGTCTCCGGTCTGCGGAAAACACTTGGTCTAATTCTTCTTGGACGCGTCTGAGAAGATTCGGATGTTTAGACAGGAGATATAGAGTATAGCAGATCGAAGAAGATGTTGTATCGTGACCCGAAAAGAGGAAGAGTTTGATTTGAGCAATACAGATCTTTTTAAAGAAAGGATCCATATCGGTTTTCCTTTCGGGCGACTTGGTTTGGGAAACTTGAGAACTTTCCGATTCATACGCTTTCAGCGCGAGACCTACGACGGACTTATTGGTGGGGGAATCGCTTTGATTATGGGCTTCTATATGCTTTTGTAGCTCGCCGGAAATGTGCTTGTCGACTTTGGGCCATAGTACCAATGTATAAATGGTCGAAGTGGGTGATATCTGATGAAAAGATTTGGCTCTGCCCCGAAAGATAGCCAACGAACTTGCTTTCTTATACCGCTGACTATTGGATTGAATGGACGCTGAAAATCGAAATCTTTCTCCCTATTGCCTAGTAAGAGAAGGGAGAATAACAAACAGCCAAAGAACACAACACTAACATAACAACTTGTCCAATAATATCCATGGTAAGATTATCCAGTAGGTTTTTCATTTTTATAATATCTTGCTTTTCTGAGTGTTTCTCAAGGATCGAAATGAATATGCCAGTTTTCTTGACGACAGAAGGGACAAGATTGGTCAAATTCCCCGCGCTGAAGCCGGGGTTGAATATGTTGCGCCACTTCTTCCATACCGGACCTCTCATGGTGACGATATATGTTCCGATGTACCCACTGTTATTTTTATTGACCAATAATATCGACTTATTGACCAATTCGGCGCTAATATTCGGCATTTACGAGCTCGCTGTCTTATTCGCCAACGATTTTTTTTGAAGCTATTGCTAATACTTAACGCACCTAATTGGCCTTGTATCCTTACCGTATATATAGGAGCGGAAGTTAGTATACGATATTTAATTGATTACTAATTATTAATTTTCAACTTTTAGGGGTCTTTTGTATTCCCCTCTCAATAATCAGACGATTTTGGAGCTTTCTCGCTTACGTACTTAAATTTATATATTAGACTATTTCCTACCTTTTTTCCTTTTAAACTAAACTCGCTTCTCTCTCTTTTATTATATATTATGACTAATTAAGATGCTCTACTAGCTACACCAGCCTTATAATCTGTACCCCCTGTACCCCTACCCGCTACACCTATAGCACCTGTAGTTGTTCCTGTTGTTTTCATTCCTTTAGGTACTCGGTAGAATAGAGTATTTAGATATTGAGAAATCTCCTCCTTTTAAAAGGAATAGATCGAATAACAAACTAGGGCCTAGGGCAGGAGAAAAGGCTAGAAAAGGATAGGTATATACATAAATCAATAAAAGTGGTAATAGCTTCATTTTTACCCAAATAAGTAATAATAGTGACTCCAACATCTAGCCCACAAACGCCGATATTAGCGCCGAATTGGTCAATAAACCGAATTTATTGACCAATAAAAATAATAATGGGTACATCGGAACATATCCAGTCCACCCGTAAGTGGCTTTAGAAATGTTTTCATACTGGGGAACTTTTCCAAAGGATGCTGTTGAGTTACTTGGTGAAGGGTGTTCAAGGAGGTAAGAACCAGCATAGAAGGAGCAAACGGAGCTAAGTTGAGATAGAAGTTTGGTCCAAGTTCTGGGTATGCCCTCCGTATCTGATCCGGAAGATAGTGCCCGTGAGCATCACTGGGAAGAGAGGATATGATCTTGTTGACAATAAAAAGATGCCCAAAGAACACATTGTATGGTGGCATTGGCTACAGATGTCAATAATTAAGCTTGATATCGGTGGTAGGTTTCTTACAAGTCCTTCAGCGCGAAGTCCAAGGATGTGACGTCGCCATAGAGCCAGCATGAATACCGACTTGACTACATAGAGTAGGCAGGAAACAGAAAGAGGCGCCAAAATGACCATGTTAAGCGTCAACATTCTGAATTGTACCTGTTGTTCGATGGAAATGAAATTGCTTCGTAACAAGTCTCGGCGTATCTATCACTTGTAAAACCTTGCAAAGAATCCCCTCTCACAGCGGAGTTTACGAGATTGTAGAATGCTAGCATGCCTGTGCTCGATGGTAGGCTACATACAACTGGTCTCAAATGGTTACCGATCATTGATAAGGGATGAATAAACCCGTTAACCAACCAACGCCAACCAACGCCAACACTGATATAGAGGTCCGAATGGGGAGCAAAATTACCATTCAGACTCCTGGGACTAGCCATGTGGGCTTTTGTATAACCAAAAAGGGTGTTTTTGTAGATACCAACGAGACTTGTGGCAATGAATATTCCCGGTGAATTTTAATGTTGTATGCCATTCCCATGACCCTTTTTTAGAGTCTGGCAGTAGTTCTTGAAGTTTGAAATCCCTATGAGAATGAAGTAAATAACATTATTACAGCCTTCACGTCGCCTCCGCCTCCTAGAACTTAAAAACCATGATTGGGGATAGTAACGTTCTAGATCCAAGTAAGATGGCAGCGGTAAATAGTTATTCATGGTGCCGGAGAACGGAAATGAAAGATGTCTTTATATTACGAAGATAAACAGGAGGATTGGTCTTTCTAACGAGCTACCCACGAGTCAAAGATTCGACTATCGTGTTGCCAACCACTGAGGAGCTGGGTTCTTCACTTGTGTATTTTGCGTCATTACGAGCCTCATAGTATTAGAAGAAACAATAGACGAACACTAAAATTCCACCGTTCGATTCTTTAAAATGAGTTTTTTAATTTGCAATATCCCGAACACATCGAGTTCTTCGTATTATGCCACTTGTCTACATAGAACCAAACATTAGTCAAAACCCAACCAAAATTCCTATTGGCAAAATGTGAACCTTTGGAACCAAAGAGTCAGGCCGATTACTAGGCTCTGTGGTAGACCAGCATGTATTATCAAAAGTGACAATAAGTTGTGCAGGATCTGTGGAGACGCAACATTTTGTTACGTCTGAAAATGCGACAAGCAACAAGAAAGAGGAGTGGATCAAGAAATTCATCTGGACTTCACACTGTTGTCAAAAATCCATGGATTGTCGAAAGAACCTCTGTTGCCGAAAATAGTCAAAATTGTACCACGGTAGTAGCCAAGATTCAGGAAGTGGGTGGGGGGCAGCGTTGACTGAAATTTAATCAGTACTGGTCTCAGGACACATTGATGTGGATCATACCATCAGAAAGGCTGTCAACACCAGCACCAGTCAAATCATTGTCAGTCATGCGATATAAGCTACCTCTGTTACCAGTCATGGCTCAAGCTGAATCAAGTGTAGAGTTTAAGCGTCGCTAACACCGATCTCTCCGATTCTCGTTCTCTCACGGTTATGAATCTATTCCCCTCCATGATACAACGACTCTCTCCTACTCTCTCGCGATGTTCCCCTGTTCTTCGTTAGCTAAGTAAAGTAGGAATTAAATTCCAGTATCTTTTTCCATCTGTGCTATTGTAACCGTAATTTCGTCCATTTCGTCAATACTACGATCATTTCATCAATTAGTACGCATGATGGAATAGACGGTATGATTTGATCAATTCTCATAAGCGAATTGTTCGTCTTTTAAACTAATAATGAAAGGTAGTTTTTAATTAAAGCACACCCCTCGCCTAGGAAAGTAAATAAAACAACTCAAAACAAATAAGTAATTGAGGTACAACGCCTCGTAAGTCGTTTGTACTGAAACAAGTAAAAAGTAGGGCTATTCCCAAATACTATTATCTCGCCCTTAGTTTACGTCCGGTACCAACTCTATAGCGATATGGCCGGGTCGGCAGCGTCCATATTCAAGAACAGTAGTGGCAGAGATGCAACAAGGGCAGGGAGCATAGACCCTCATATAGATTTGTATGTTGTGTAATGTTTACCACATTTCATTCCTCATTCCACACCCACTACTTGTTCCACACCCTCCTGAGACACAACAAAAGTACATTATGGAATGGATTATCGTATTTGCCACTGCCATAATGGTAGTCCTCAAATCTATGGTACGGCGGTTACAATAGTCTAATTAACCAAAACACATATTTGGGGGTGCCCATAGCACAGATCACTATTCCCGGCGCTATGGAGTGGCAAGTGTAATAATAACTACTCTGTTTGAATGCAGCTTTGATATTTAGGCCACCCATTAGAGTGAAGTCTATCTAGAGATTGATGTTTCGCGTATCACAATTTCGGCCCGCTATGAGGATGAAGAAAACCAAATAAATATCTAATACTTGTATGACTCTACAGGTATTCTATCTAAAGATTGTTTACAGTACACTGCCAACTTTCAATTCACTTCTCCTCTCCGTCGAAACCCGACTTTAATCCGGCATACTATATTAAGCTCACAGGACCTTTCAAAACATTTTGAATGAATGGAGTCGTGGCAAGAAGAACCATAAGATGGTCGGAGGGTTTATGTACATAGAACATAACGACAGTAGTAAAGGTTGCCGGGAAGCTATGTTACAAGCGCTTCAGACAAAATAACTGAATATATCACTAGAAGTAGTGATATTCGCCTGGTATATTTCATCTGAACTTTGCTCAGTTGTCGAGAAGTAATTTGCTGTCAAAAGATAAATTTAGTGTCAAAGGTAAATGAAAATTCGGATCGAAATTAGTGACAAGTATCTCATGTGTAAGTATTGATAATCTATAAGCTGGAACACATTCAAACTCACACAGCAGACACACAACTTTTTCGAGGAAAACTTTTCTTCGAATTCCATCAATCCCGCTCAACCAAACGATAGCAGC